ATGTTAGGTTTTACTTGGCGATTCAAATTATTTATACTTTTGTCAGACGAGCCTTCCCTGAACTTCTCTAAAGGCTTTTGAAATAGTTTATTAGAATCTGCAGGTTCTCTTTCTGAGTTTGCTTAATGCTCTATCTTAGTGTAAGACATACTTTTTCTACTTAGACAAAAAAAGAGGCATTCTATTATGAGAAGTTAAGTAGCCTTGTAATTATTGTGATTACTAAGCCAATTAAATGGGAGACCTTGCTCTGTGAAGATTCTGATGTAGAGCAAAGATGACATGCTTCAGTTTGGCCCCATCTCACCCTCCCCTGAGGCCTCTTCTTGGCCTATATCACTGGGGCCCCAAAGCCCATGCAGACAGATAGTGCTATCTCATCAGCTCTTGCTCATCAGCTCAACTCAGATTTAGGGTAGAAAAAAATCTGTCACTTTGAGCTGATTATGTGTTTTAACCTAGGATGTAACACCTTCGTGATAAGAACCAATTCTAGATTACATCCTACTCATAAGGACCAGTTTGCATGATAAATGCAACAATGAAATGAACTCGTATTACATCTAATTACTAAAACTATATCCATTTTAAAGTTGATTCATACAGTAAAAAACGGTCTGATCCATACGCCAACAGCCCTTAGCTTGTGCCAAATGTTTGGGTATCTAGCAAAGGCAACCTTAAAATAGCTGGGAACAATTTTTAAATTGCAGATTGATGTGAAACTGTCTTTGCCCATAGTTAAAAGTTGTTTCTATGCCTCAAAGGAACTGAAAAATAAGGAAATTCATGGCCCAATTACCTTATAGATGTGCCCTATAAGCAGTGACAGCGTCTCTAGAGAAGAACTGATTTATTGCTTAATATGAGAAAATTAATTCCACTCATGCAATATAATTTTAATTTAAAAACAGAATTAAAATGTTCAAAAACCAAGGCTGTATGCTTGCTTTATTTAATTTATTTGAATTTATTAGCTGCCCAACTCTAATGGATTTAGGACTAGCCTTGTACTCTTTAAAAATATTTACTGAACATTTGCATAATTTGTGTGTTCTCCCTTTTCCCTCACTGGTGATATGAAGAACAGTTGCAAAGTGATTCCAAAGGCTCAATGGAGCACGTATTGGGGAGAGGGAGATGCTATAATGGATGCCTGCAGCATTTCAAGCAGCAGCAGAAATAGCCATGTTATATTCTTGAGAGGCCATGTAGGGTTTGCCTGAACTACTATTCCCAAAACCTGCTCTTATTTAAATAAAAAACCCAAAGCAGAAGAGAGAAAGAATGCCATGTTTTCAAGTCACCCCCAGCCCTTCTTAGTTTGTGGTTCTCTTCTACTTTGACTCTTCCCCTCCTTGCTTCAGTTAAAGAGGATCAGAGGGAGCAGTGCACAGTAATGTGCAAAAAGGTCAGGAAGAGGATAATCCAATGGCTTCCTTTCCTGTCTGGATGAGCAATATTTGGAAATGGCGTCCTGCTTTTAGGGATGAAGGGGGGAACCTAGATTTTGGTAATGCACTCTTTAACAGTGATTTTGAAAATATTTGTGT